TCTCTCTCTCTCTCTCTCTCTCTCTCTCTCTCTCTCTCTCTCTCTCTCTCTCTCTCTCTCTCTTCGCCGTGGTCTTCTTGCAGATGCGCGACGGCTTCTCCAACCTCGGGTCCGCTATGGCGAACTCTCCCTCAACGACCACCTCTGCTATGGCGCTTCAGTGCCTGCACACAAAGGCGCGCATGGCATAGCGGGTACCACCGTACCAGCTCCGATACCAATCGTCTCATTCACACTTTTCATGTATGTAAACAGCAGCAAAGCAAACTGGCGACATGCGCCCACACAATACTCAGAGATATGGCTCCCAGGTAAGAGTTCACATCCACTGGCTATGGTGACTCAGCGCCCAACAACCCACTGTTCACACACACTGGCCCTAAGCTATAGCTATGGCAGCACTAGCTGCCTCTACCCGATCGCTATGGCTACACTTCGTCACTCTCGCCCACTTCTACTTCAGGCCTACCGCAGACCTCCTCGCACAAGACGCTGAGATAGCGCTTCCGCATGGCTTCTGCAGGAAGGAATGAATGGTTGTGCGCGACCTCTTGATTTATACTTCTGTGACTCGTTGGTCTGCCCTGTTTCCCTGGCCCACGGTGTACACAGTCCTAGACGGTACTTGCTTGACTGGACCGGACTGACCGGACTTGGGCTGCTGACTCTGCATGGTGGACTTCCACCACTTGCCCACTTGCCTGGACCTACAGTGGGTTGACTCCGAAAGGCCACTTCTGGAAACATCTACTTGGCCTTTCGGTACTGTAGCAGCTATGACTCTGCCCTTTCAGGTAAGTAGCAGCTACAACTTTGACCCTTCGGAAAGTCTACAGCTACGACCTCTGGACTGTCTAGACTCCTACCCGACAGGTCTACAATTCGAATCCCCTATACCCTGTAACCTACGACGTCCTACCTACCACTGACGATCCTACAGGTCGCAGGTTCAACTCTACGGGTTGACACAGGTACTGTACACAGGTAAGGTGGGGATCTAGGGATCGAGCCCTGGGATCTGCATCAGCTACTGCGAACTAGTGAATACCGTTTCACCTACCATCCCTGAGGGACAAACCCCCCCCATCACCCCCCCACCGGGCCCAGGCACGTTCGGACGGGGCCCGTCTGTACGAGCGTACGACCGTTCGTACGTCTGTACACACGGACCGTACGAAGACCTTCCGTACGATGTACACGACACTACACCGGCCTGCACTGAGCCCAGCCATCGCAGTTGCACATCAGAATAGTTTAGTGCCTCGAAAAGCTAAAACCACAACCGACAAATCAAACCAAGCTCAATATCTCATCTAATAGCTCATCGGCCAAGGCAATCACCCTGATCGTCATCATCATCATCATCATCATCATCATCATCATCATCATCCTTCACCTATCCCTTGACTACACACACACATGTCTTTTCTTTCACCCGAAGACCACCCCTGCGCCTCACTCTAGTCCAAGCCCACCAGCTATGGTGGCTGGGCTATGGCGCTGCCCCCAGCAACGCCCTTCTTCCCTGCACGACCGCACGTGCTGCACCTCGCCTCTCAGCGCTAGCCAGCAGCCGCGAGCCTTTGCTCCAGCAGCGCTGCCGCTAGCATACGAGTGCCTGAATGAGGCAGCCAGGCCCGAACTCTTTCCTTTATGGAAAGAGTTGGCCTGCTCTCGCAGCCAAGCTGCACTAGCTTGGGCCCAAAAGCTTCAGGAAGGCCCCAGTAGGCTGCCTGCGTACAACAGCTACTCGGCTGTTGGGCCTCGTTCGGTTGGGCGCCCAACTGTCTCTGTATGAGGCTGCGAATCACGCCTAGGGCCTGCATTCTTTGGAAAGGCCCGGAGGGCCGTGGAAATGTCTTTGTTGCTCGGCCTGTGTTTCTCTCAACCAACTGGCGCGTCGCAACTGCCTGGACCCCAAATATGAAATTGACAGTCGAGGGCCTCTTGCAAAATGCCAAGCCCGCCTTCACTTAGGGTGGGCACCTCGCCTTTACTTAGGGTGGGTAAGGCTGCAAACAGGGCCCCATAGGCCTACCGAGGACCCTGATCCTCGCATTCCCTCCTTTACTTCGTTAGTCCTATGAGAAGTCTCTTATTCTGCAGGCATCTTCCCTGTTCGTTCTCTTTCATAGCCTGCAATCACTTGAGGCGTTGTTCTCATGAGTTCCTCTCGTGTGAACCAGCGGTCTTCCTTGGGATCGAGGTGATGTTTGAACCTCACACAATACTGAATTCTCGGCTTAGGAGGGCGCCCTCTGCCTGATGGTCGAGGGACAGGCATCACTTGGTGCTCACGATCTGGTCGGTGTCGACCTCTCCATCCATGGTTGGGGCAGCATTGATCACTTGGTGCTCACGATCAGGTCTATGTCTATTCTCAAATGCAATCATTGCCTCTTGAGACTTCCTAATGTGTTGAACGGCCTGCTGCAGCATCTGTTCGTACTTGACAGCAAACTCTATGCTGCCGGGTGCTGCAGTGGGTTTTCTTTCTGGTAGCAGAAAGTCAAGGGCGGTTCGAGGCTTCCAACCAAGATGCAGTTGGTTGGGAGTCATGTCGGTAGTACTATGCACAACGTTGTTGTACAGGCTGGCAACGAGAGGTAGTTTCTCATCCGAGTCGTCCTGACTTGGCTTGATGTAGTGCCTAAGCAATTGTTGTACTACTCGGTTCATTTGTTTCGCTTGCCCATTTGACTCAGGATGATTTCCTGAAGTCATTTGGAGTTTTGTGCCCACTTGTTAAGCAGTAGACTGCCACAGTTGGCTCGTGAATCTTACATCCCTATCACTAACAATAGACGTAGGTAGACCGAAGTCTCTTACCCAGTTATCCATGAAAATTTTGATGACGAAGTCAGTTTTAGCAGTTTCAGGCATAACGATCAGTCTGACGTACTTGGTAAAATGGTCCACTATAACAAAGATGTGTCTCTTTCCCGACCTGCTGGTCACAAGGGTATCCATGAAATCCATGGATACACTCTGGCCTGGTCCTTCAGGGATCGGCAAGGGTTTGATCAACCCAAGCGGAACCTGAGTCCTTGGTTTGTCCTTTTGACAAACTTGGCAGGTTTCAACATAACGTTTTGCATCTTCCAACATAGAAGACCACCAAAATCTCTGCACTAAGTTCGCTGATGTCTTTCTACAGCCAAAATGACTAGTTGCATCATGACATTCTTCTAAAAATAAACTACGCAAAGACTCACTATTAGCAACACATAGTCTTTTATTCCCTTCCTTCTCGAGCAACAGCAAACCATCTACCATCGTAAATTCGTCTAAAGTTTTTTTGTCCTTTGCTTGAAATCTACGGATGACCTATGACATAACTGGATCTCCTTGATAGACTTCCACCAACGATGGAGTGAGTTCGTCAGATATGCCAAACTCGGTGACTAGCGCGCCTATATTATCTGTCGTTCTTGATAGCGCATCAGCCACCTTGTTGTACGTACCCTTGATAGGGTCAAGTTGATAGTCATACATGTCTATCACTTGAATCCATCTCTTGAGTGCGTCCCACAACACAGGCTGTGTCTTAATCCTGCACAAAGTCTCATTGTCAGACCTCACATAGAAGAATCTTCATAGGAGGTAGTGTCTCCAATGCACTAGCGCTTTGTACAGGGCATAGAGCTTTCTCTCATAAGTGGACTTAGCTAACTTTTGAGAAGACATCTTTTTACTCCTGCACTTGATCGGTCTCAACTTTGGCCCCTCCTGTTGCGCAAGGACCGCGCCTATGCCATATTGGCTGGCGTTTGTGGTCACA